TGGTAGAGAAGGTGTTTTGGTGTTAAACGAAGAATGAAACTGATCAGAGGGAGACAAAAATAAATTAGATAGGCATTTCCCATAGTTTATAAAGTCATTAGTGGATTAGAAAATTCTAGGTGATAATAATGTATGCTAGAGGCAAGTTTCTCCCTCCTTAAAAAGTCACACTATTAAACAGTAGAATTCGTTTGGAATATATATATAAATTAATCTCACCTTACATCACACATACAGGCGATGTTACTAACTTGAGGTTTCTATTGAATTTCGTAACCTGGTTGATGTAGTAAAGATTTTGTTTTCTTTCTCTCTTCCCAGCAGGAAGTGGATTAGTGTGCGAGTTGATGTTGTTGGAAAAAAGACAGACTATTAAATAAAAGATGGGGCAATATTAGAGAATGCATAAGAGTAGAATGTAAAGATAGAACTTTAAAGTTTGTTTTTATAGAATTTCACTCAAAGCTACACGTGGGCTATCTGGACATACCCCTACTTACTTTGAAACTAAAAGTCTAAAGGGAAGACTGCTAGTCAACACCAGCCACTGCCAATTCTTGTGTTGCTCTTCTCTGACTGAATTGTGAGGTTTAAAGGGATTAGGTTGTAATAATTAACAACATGATATAGGAATTATCTATTACATAATTAAAAGCCCCACAGTCAAAAAGCTGCATGTTTGTTATTCACGTCTTCTAAGAAATTGTTTTTGAAGCATGGTAGAATTTCATTAGATTGTTATAAGTATTAGTGTGCAGGATAAACACAGCAATTGTGATGATTTGACAGCGGATGTCAGCAATCATGTGATCCAAGTTATGATGCTGGAAGGTCAGGAAAAGTTATAGAAATATTATTTTTGTATAATAAGGCAATGCTGCAAGTAGCAAGGTTTTTTGGTCTTATGAAAAACAAAGTAACCAGGTAAAGGTAATTCATTAGGGGTGATTAAAGATTGTTCGTTAAAAGTGATTATACCTGCATTTATGGTGTTAGCGAGAATAATTAGTCCCATTTTTGGTTAAGATGCTGCCACGAATATTGATTTAAATACAAAGGAGGTTAAGAACGTTAGTGTGTAGGGGGGACGAAAAGAGGGGTACTGATTAGGAGTTTCAAGCTCAGAAAACCATAAAATTTGTTAGCGATATTACTCATAAGTATATATATATGTGTGGAGACTGAAAATATTATAGTGAAAAACAATTAACTTTTGGTGTGAAAAGGGTGATTCGGAGGCTGTAGTTGGAATGGTGCTTTGTATGTGTTCTCTACATTAAAAGTTGTTCTTGTATTTGTTTGTGGTATATTGGAAAAATTCAATTGCTCGGTGGGGGATTGTTAGGAACTTGGTTGTGTCGATGTTGAAAAGTGTTTCTGGTGGGGCTGATGACTTGTTTGTTTGTAAGAAGCTATGCATTTTGGGCTGCTTTAGACTGAAAATTACTGTGATTCGACCACAGAATAACAGCAAATAATACTATTACACGGTACATTTAATATGATGTTTGCTCTGAAAAAATGAAAGGTATAAGGATCCACAAACCTCATCAACTACAGAAATTCTGTAGTGTTACAATTTTTCTGGGAGGACGTCATCATGTAAAGCCTCTATACGACTGAAAACTGAATGTATTGCTAAATAGATAAACATTTATTTCGAACAGTGGCAGTTTTACGTTTTGAGCCATCAACCAGGAAAGGAGCTTAATAGGGAAGGGGCTTATTACACGATGAGTAAATAGTTATTGTTAAGCGCAAAGCTACACAGTGGGCTATATGTGCTCTGCCCAATGTGAATAGAGCTGAACTCGATCTTTGACGTTATAAGCCTTTAGAAGTACCGCTGACACACTTTGGAAAATCTGCTTTAAATTAAATGACTTGCATCTTTTGTGTTGCAGGAAATCATATACAAATTCACTTTGCCCTAGTTAGCGTAGTTGGTAGGAAGGTTAGATTTCACAAGAGTACTGTCTTTCCATACGTTGGTGTGCCAAATACATTTTTTTCATGTGTATCCTACAGCATTTTGATGGAAATAAATTTGTATTACTTTATCGAAATATTGAACAAAAGATGCAAGCACGTTTTGTTCTTGCTCGGTGTGGATTTTTATTATTGACTAAAATGTTAACCTCGTGTGTGTAGTGACATTGTATCGAGCTGACAAATCATTTAAACAGAAGTTCACAATGCTTTTTACAGTCAAACTTTATTCAAGAGAAGAAGTGTATTTAGCTTTATAGAATTAACAGTATAACAAGAATGTTGCCGTAATGAAACCTGAACAATAAATTACACTAACATCAGTAAACATTGTTGTAGTAAATCCGCTTTGTTCATAGTTTACCAAATGTAAGACCTATGGAACTTTTTTTTTCGTAGTTAAGCTGACCAACAAGAAAAGTGAATGATACAAACTTAAAAAAAATAATAATAAAAAATCACTATTTAGAATGCTATTGATCTTCATATAAACAAATGAAGTTTTGATAGCAAAAGTAAAAACAAACACAGAGTTGATTACTATAAATATACATATACGGACTAAAACCACATTCCACAGTTCTTCAGGTTGGTCTATAAATACTGAAATATACATTTTTTAAATCTAATACACAATGATGTTTTCAAGATTGATATGCACAACACTGTGACAAATAATATATGCTGATACAAACTATTCCTAAGCAAACACGACTGAAGTTAAAATTATGGAAGTTTGACTGATTACTTACATTTGATCCAAACCAATAACCTTAACTAATTCAAAATAATCCTCGTTCAAAAGCAGACATTAAGCATCTTTCTATGTCGTAAAATGTACGTGCGAACTTTAAAAATAGCACGTGTATAAACGTACCGTATCTAATAACAAATAATGATTTCTTTGACACAGTTGAAAATATAAGATACTGTCGTATATTAAAAAACAAATCGTAAAGAAAAAACTTAACATCTAGCTATGTAAGAATACAATATTTTATACTTTTATCTAAACTAGCTTATGTACAATATAACATGTATAATAATACTTAAACACACTTGTTTCACTGTTAAGTCATAATCTACAAGCCTTGAGGTTCTAATACCTATTTCAAGGCTACTAAAAGCACATACTTTTCAAAATACAAGAAATGAGATTGCATCACAAGATTTTATATTTTTCAGTAAATTTGTTATTTACTAAAAACAAGACGTACAACCCAAAAATCACACATAAACAGCAGTAGATATCACCTTAAATAAGACTTGGAAATGAGAGTTCAAATTGTATTGAATAAAGATCAACATTACTTTCTTACCTCTAATTAAAGCAGTTATGTTGTATTTACTAAATAGTTCTAGTCATTAAAAACTAATATGCACAATTAACTGAAGTTTGGTAAAAATTTAAAGTTTTTTTTTTACCTTAAGATGCATGAAAAGCTTGTGAAAAATCTGTAGTTCTATTTGATGACTTCTAGGCTCACTTATGGCCCAACCGTACTGTTATATTGTATTTTCACAGATATTCCTTATTGTACTGGAATGAAGTAAGTCTGGCACATTTTGTTTAACTATGCAGTTAAGACTGAAGGTCTACATAAATGACATACAACTAACAAGATAAAATCATTTAGGTTGAAGATACATGTTTGACAATGAAAGGATACCAACAGTATCATACAACTTTCCTTCTGCATACAGTGTTACTTAATACTTCATGACAGTTATATGTAATCAGAATGGTTGAAGCTTAACATTTCTTAAGTGTCCATCTAATAATGTTGCAAATAGTGAACATTGTAGACAACTCATGCCATCAGTAATGAGAAAGATTTACTATTAAGTGAAACTGTCCTATTTTATCCTCTCTCTTGCTAAAATAAATTCTCAATGTCCTATATATGTTCCAAACACTCATCATAAGGTTTACATACAAATAAAAAATAAACGGGCATTTCAGGATAGAAAACATTAGCTCTCGCAGATATGAGAATTGATTCATGACAATGCCTGTGAGAGTTGTAAGGTAAAAAATATATAAAAATAGAATACATTCAAACAGTCTCTCTGAAAAATTTTATTTAACAATGAGATTCACTTTGTAACCTAGGAAACTACAAAACCATATAAATTACTCACATGGAAAATAGTACAGAACTAATAATGGTTCGATATGTGGACGGAATATGACGTATTCTAAACCCAGAAAGAAAACATTATTGAATAATACACACCTTACAATTTTTCAAGCTTTGTAACAATAAGCAGTGAAGGGCCTGGTTACCTATGAGAACATCAGACTGAGTAACAACCAATGTTTAATAATGCCCCAAGTGTTTGGAATGTCATGTTGGATAAATGTACCAACTAGTAAAGATAACAAGACTAAAAACTGTCATCAAAATATCCATGTACAGTTGTAGAATAAATACACTCTCTCGATTAATTGTAGGAAACAAATAAAATTAACAAAGTAAATGTGAAATACTAAAGCAACAAAATTTAAGACATTTATTTCTAAATATGTGCTTACTAAAAATTCTTTAGGATAGTATTAATATATGTACTTTAAGAAACATCCAGCAGATTTAAAGCTGTTAAAAGTACTTTAATAATATACAAAATATTTAAAGGTTTATATGATCATGAGTGAAATGCAAAGCTGAAATGATAAATTATATACAAAACTAATTCACTGAAAAATATTTATGGCAAAAGCACTAGGAGTCAAAAAGCTGGAATGAATCTCCCATACTATATTTGAAATATTTTACATTTAAGTAATGTGTAATTATGACCTTTATGTGTTTGGAAAAAATTAAACATATTGCACTTGAAACAAAACGACAGATCCTTACACTTCATCAAATCAACAAAAAATGTCTTCATCAACAACACTACAACAATTTTTATAGTGTATATCCACAAAGTTTATTCTTGTTTATAAGGAAACTTGGACTCCTTTATTGGGATGATTTTGATTTTTCACCCCAATTTGATGTATATCTAAATGGTCCATTTATAATATCACCAATAGTTACCTGTAACAATATCTTAACAACATCCTAACTTATCAGTTGCTGCATCATTACTTTGCCAAGTATGCATAGCTACATCATAATAAACACCTACAAAGCAGTTTTATCTATAAAAATATACAACTTTTCAACATATTAATGTATAATGACCCCATATCTTCAGTTTCTACTTATCTGTCCAGCAGTATATCAAAAGCATTTCCCAATCACAAAACATTGCAGGGTTTCAGATAACTGTGGCAGGATTGGTCAAGCCCACTGATGCTGCCTGACCATTGGGTTGCAGAGGTGATAAAGAATGAGAAGATAATAGGTTGGCTTGAGAACTCGAGGCTGAACTATTGTACATAGAAGTTGAATGACCGGGAGAGCCAAATGTATCACTACTAGAGCTATGAAGAGGGATGTCTAACAATTTTGTTACAGGATTCTGGTAATATCGTCTTTGACTGGAACCCCGTTTAGATCGTGTTGATCGGCGTTTTACTTTTCTTGGAGTTAATGGTTGATGATGAATGGAAGTAGGCTGAGCTTCTCCCATCTGATTTTGGTACTGAATGCTGTAGACAACATCTGTGGATGGTCGCCTGGCTGTTAAACATGTCAGAATAGCAGAAAATGAATTAAAAGTGTATTGCACTCAAAAAAGGAATATTCAAGCTTTTGCTTTTACATATTATGATCTAACACCTGTTACAAACAAAAACTTCCAAGTCTGAATAATGACTGAAAATATATAATTACTTCTGATTTTATACTTTATTAATCACAGTTAATAAGCTTATCAAGTTTTGAATGTTTGTGAAATACTATTTTCAAACAACTGAATATTCATTTTATGAATACATCTGTGGCAATTGATTCATCACTTCTGAAGTGTCAGATTATCAAACGTTTATTATTATTATTATTAACACTGTTACACCTGTTTCAGCTGATTTATCACCCCCTGAAGTGAAGTGTCACAAATGCTATTAAAGCTGTCAGCCCTACAGTGTCATGTTATCAAATGTTTTCTTTTTATTAACACTGTATACACCTGTGTCAGTTGATTCATCACCTGTGAAGTAAAGTGTCAGGTTATCTGAACTGTAGCATTTTTACTCATTTAAGTTTGTGACCAAATTCAGCCTTAAAATGTTATATTGTAAAAAAGATTATAAACATATGAAGACATATTATGTACATGCTGAATTTCCTTATGATCAAACAGTACTGTCAAGGCTGTCATTCTGATGATGTGCATTAGAAATATTTGTGTTATCTGTCTTCACATGCACTATATAACAGTGAATTTGATAACTCCAGGTAAATGACAATGAATCAACATATTTTTCCCTTAGACTTTTCATATTATTTATCTTGTAGTTTATAAGTTATAAAGTTTGAAGATTAAATAAGATTTAACCAATAAATTTTTCATTTTGTACTTTTTTTCTTTTATCAAGGGAAGAAACAGCAACAGTGATACAAAATTGATTAGTATATATTACTATGTCCTTCCCAGGTAAAAACCACAACTTTCCTATTCGGGGTTCTGTCTTAAACATTAAAGTACATTTGCACACAAACTGATGAGTATTGATCAGTTTAACAGTTTAAATTAACACTAACAGACACAAACACTGGATTTGCACATAAACTGATCAGTATGTTACAATAGTTTAAACTGACACTGGATTGAAGAGGACATGTGAAATATCAAAACTAGTTTCTATTTAAACTTGTTACTGTTCTGTTAGTGTGTATTCAAGCTATATTGTAAATTACTTTACATGGTATTGTGTATTTACCTATTATTATGATCAGTATGTCTGCTGTATCCTTTCCTTATTGCTTAATTTACAGTAATATAAGACTAACAGTTGAAACTATTAAGGTACTTACACAAACTATGGTCTGGCTTATAGCAATACAATGCTAATATTGCTGCAAGTAACCCAGGTATCTATCAAAGTAAAAAAAAAAAAGTCAAGGAATCAAATTATTGTTTAATACTTTTCTTACACAGTTACTTTAAGTAGCACAACAGCCTCATGATGAGAGTAAAAAAGTCATTAAATTCATACTTTTGATAAAAGAGCTAATTTGAATTCAAAGGTAAATATTATCTTTACAGGATTTCTGGTAGTCAGTTTTTTTTAATAATAGGTAATTCTTCTAAAAAAATTGCCCACTAGTAGAGATTTTAATTTTTTTGCTACAAAGTAACAAGAACATTTTGGGCTCAAACACTTCAATCACACAGCAAATAAGCTTTCTCATAGTACTTTTTTTTCTCACATTTCTAACTACCATTTACCATCAACTCTTGGAACATAATTTACCAAGAGATAGTGGGATTGACTGTTACATTATAATGCCCCATGGTTAAAAAGGTGAGCATGTCTGGTGATAGGATTCAAACCTGCAAATTCCAAATCAAGCTCCCTAAAAACTGCCAGCCAGACCTGTTTGACCAAAGTCATTAATACCATAGGCACCTGTAGAAATTTCATTGTAGCAACCCCATAGTGAGTCTTATGTTCCCTGTCATGAACATTTAATTTGAGGGTGTTATTAGTGAGGAGTCATCTATAATATGTCACTTCTACTATCTCTTTCTTTAACAACATTTCCCTGTGAAACTGGCAGTGAATACTTTCTCCGTCAATCCACATTCTTGCAGAAATATTCGCCATACCTTCATCTCTATTTAATACTACATGATCTTTTTTATGTTTTATTATTTCTAACTATTCACGAATATTATTACCTATTATACTTTTTGGTTGAGCTAATATTACAGTTTTTTCCCATGATATTGTGTGTTGTGTTTCCTGTACATGTTCTGCTATGGATGAATTTTCTGTTTTTTTTATTTTTTACATATCCCTTATGCTCATTTAAGCGGTATTTAAAATTATGTTTTGTCTGACCAATGTAAATACTTCCACATTCTATTTTATATATTCCAGTTTTTTCAGTTAACTGTATTTCGTCAAATGTAGTACCTAACGTTTGATTCATCTTATTTATTGGTTTAAAGATAGGGTAGAATATCTG